ATACACTACTTAATGATGAAGTGATCACTGAAGAAATCAAAGAGGAAATAAAAAAACACCTATAAACAAATGACAATGGAGACACGACGACCTAAAACGTATGGGATGCAGCGAAAGCAGTTCTAAGAGGGAAGTTTATAGCGGTACAATCCTACCTCAAGAAACAAGAAACATCTCAAATAAACAACCTAACCTTACACTTAAAGGTATTGGAGAAACAAGAACAAAAAAACCCCAAAGTTAGCAGAAGGAAAGAAATCATAAAGATCAGATCAGAAATAAATGAAGAAAACAATAGCAAAGATCAATAAAACTAAAAGCTGGTTCTTTGAGAAGATAAACAAAATTGATAAACCATTAGCCAGACTCATCAAGAAAAAAAGGGAAAAGACTCAAATCAATAGAATTAGGAAAGAAAAAGGAGAAGAAACAACTGACACTGCAGAAATACAAAGGATCATGAGAGACTACTACAAGCAACCATATGCCAATACAATGCACAACCTGGAAGAAAATGGACAAATTCTTGGGAAATCACAACCTTCCAAGATTGAACCAGGAAGAGATAGAAAATATAAACAGACCAGTCACAAGCCCTGAAATTTAGACTCTAATAAAAAAATCTTGCAACAAACAAAAGCCCAGGACCAGATGGATTCACAGGTGAATTCTATCAAACATTTAGAGAAGAGCTAACATCCATCCTTCTCAAACTCTTCCAAAAAATTGCAGAGGAAGGAACACGCCCAAACTCATTCTACGAGGCCACCATCACCCTCATTCCAAAACCAGACAAAGATGTCACAAAGAAAGAAAACTACAGGCCAATATCACTGATGAACATAGACACAAAAATCCTCAACAAAATACTAGCAAACAGAATCCAACAGCACATTAAAAGGATCATACACCATGATCAAGTGGGGTTTATCCCAGGAATGCAAGGATTCTTCAATATATGCCAATCAATCAACGTGATAAACCATATTAACAAATTGAAGGAGAAAAACCATATGATCATCTCAATAGATACAGAAAAAGCTTTTTACAAATTCAACACCATTTATGATAAAAACCCTCCAGAAAGTGGGCATAGAGGGAAATTACCTTAACATAATAAAGGCCATATATGACAAACCCACAGCCAACATCATTCTCAATGGTGAAAAACTGAAAGATCAGGAACAAGACAAGGATGTCCACTCTCATCACTATTATTCAACATAGTTTTGGAAGTCCTAGCCACAGCAATCAGAGAAGAAAAAGAAATAAAAAGAATCCAAATAGGAAAAGAAGAAGTAAAGCTGTCACTGTTTGCAGATGACATGATACTATACATAGAGAATCCTAAAGATGCTACCAGAAAACTACTAGAGCTAGTCGATGAATTTGGTAAAGTAGCAGGATACAAAATTAATGCACAGAAATCTCTTGCATTCCTATACACTAATGATGAAAAACCTGAAAGAGAAATTAAGGAAACACTCCCATTTACCACTACAACAAAAAGAATAAAACACCTAGGAATAAACCTACCTAAGGAGACAAAAGACCTATATGCAGAAAACTATAAGAAACTGATGAAAGAAATTTAAGATGATACAAACAGATGGAGAGATATACCATGTTCTTGGATTGGAAGAATCAACACTGTGAAAATAACTATACTACCCAAAGCAATCTACAGATTCATCGCAATCCCTATCAAACTACCAATGGCATTTTTCACAGAACTAGGACAAAAAATTTCACAATTTGTATGGAAACACAAAAGACCCCGAATAGCCAAAGCAATCTTGAGAAAGAAAAATGGAGCTGGAGGAATCAGGCTCCCGGACTTCAGACTATACTACAAAGCTGCAGTATGGTACTGGCACAAAAACAAAAATATAGATCAATGGAACAGGATAGGAAGCCCAGAGATAAACTCACGCACATATGGTCACCTGATTTTTGATAAAGGAGGCAAGCATATACAATGGAGAAAAGACAGCCTCTTCAATAAGTGGTGCTGGGAAAACTGGACAGCTACATGTAAAAGAATGAAATTAGAACACTCCCTAACACCATACACAAAAATAAACTCAAAATGGATTAAAGACCTAAATGTAAGGCCAGACACTATAAAACTCTTAGAGGAAAACACAGGCAGAACATTCTATGTCATAAATCACAGCAAGATCCTTTTTGACCCACCTCCTAGAGAAATGGAAATAAAAACAAAAATAAACAAATGGAACCTAACGAAACTTCAAAGCTTTTGTACAGCAAAGGAAACCATAAACAAGACAAAAAGACAACGCTCAGAATGGGAGAAAATATTTGCAAATGAAGCAACTGACAAAGGATTAATCTCCAAAATTTACACGCAGCCCAAGCAGCTCAATATCAAAAGAACAAACAACCCAATCCAAAAATGGGCAGAAGACCTAAATAGACATTTCTCCAAAGAAGATATACAGATTGCCAACAAACACATGAAAGAATGCTCAACATCACTCATCATTAGAGAAATGCAAATCAAAACTAAACTACAATGAGTTATCACCTCATAACAGTCAGAATGGCCATCATCAAAAAGTCTACAAACAATAAATGTTGGAGAGGTTGTGGAGAAAAGGGAACCCTCTTGCACTGTTGGTGGGAATGTAAATTGATACAGCCACTATGGAGAACAGTATGGAGGTTCCTTAAAAATCTAAACAGTATGGAGGTTCCTTAAAAATCTAAACATAGAACTACCACCCGACCCAGCAATCCCACTACTGGGCATATACCCTGAGAAAACCATAATTCAAAAAGAGCCATGTACCACAATGTTCACTGCAGCACTATTTACAATTGCCAGGACATGCAAGCAACCTAACTGTCCACCAACAGATGAATGGATAAAGAAGATGTGGCACATATATACAATGGAATATTACTCAGCCATAAAAAGAAATGAAATTGAGTTATTTGTAGTGAGGTGGATGGACCCAGAGTCTGTCATACAGAGTGAAGTAAGTCAGAAAGAGTAAAACAAACACCGTATGCCAATATATATATATGGAATCTAAAAAAAAAAAAGGTTGTGAAGAACCTAGGGGCAGGACAGGAATAAAGAGGCAGACATAGAGAATGGACTTGAGGACACAGGGAGGGGGGACGGGTAAGCTGGGACGAAGTGAGAGGGTGGCATGGACTTATATACACTACCAAATGTAAAACAGATAGCTAGTGGGAAGCAGCCGCATAGCACAGGGAGATCAGCTCGGTGCTTTGTGACCACCTAGAGGGGTGGCATAGGGAGGGTGGGAGGGAGATGCAAGAGGGAGGAGATATGGGGATATATGTATACCTATAGTTGATTCACTTTGTTATACAGCAGAAGCTAACACAACATTGTAAAGCAATTATACTCCAATAAAGATATTAGAAAAAAAATGGCATTGCTGGAAAAGAAAAAACGAAAGGAAATCTATTAGAGCTTTCGACAAAAGTAAAGATAGGCAAATCTAATGTTCATTTTGCTTCAATTTCCCAAATACAAATATTAACAAATATCTATTCTGGAAAGAAAGCTGCAAAATTATTTCCAGAAAATTTTCTCACATAAAGGAAAATTAAAACTTGGCAGGTATTAGAAAGATTAATTAAAAGAACCTCATTCACCATCATTCACTGACGATATATCAGGCTTACAAAAAATTGCTTTAAAAGGAAATTGAGTGTATAATTATTTCAAATTAAAAGTTAAAAAAGGCAAAGGGGATATTTCTAAAAATAAGCTACATAACTCAAAATTAACTGTTCTGTCTACAAGCCCTAATTACATTACCCACTAACTGATACACTTTTCAACTGCAAAAATACTTTGAAAAAACTTTCAGTATCATGAATACTGACTGACAAAGAAAATCCCACTTCGAAGCCAATGAGCAAATTCTCCAAAGAGCAGACTACATCCAGTATATTTCATACTAGAAAAAAAGAGAAAGTATGCATCTAATATGGGATCACTAGGGCCCTTCTGAATTTGAGAAAATGCACATTACTGAGAAGGCCTACATTATTCTTTGAGACTTCTAGTAGAACGTAGGTAAAAGCAGCATATGCCATTAGCCCCAGATGAAACTTGAATTAGCAAATGAGTGAGTTTATTATTATCCTTACAGACTTTTCATAGCCTACACTTTTCTGATTTGCTTTCTAAACCCTGGTATAGGAGTAACAAAATGCTCTAGACTTTCATGAAAAAAATGAAAAACCACCACCACCAACAACAACAATCGGATGGTTAAATGAAGAATCTGTGTGCCGGTAGAAATAAATACATTCCTAGCTCTGACAACTGAGAGGGTCTGTAATGACACCCAGCAGCAACAACCGTGCGGAGGACCTAGATCCGTGTTTCCAACCATCAATCTTCACCAGTTAAAAAACAAAAACAGGGCTTCCCCGGTGGCGCAGTGGTTGAGAGTCCGCCTGCCGATGCAGGGGACGCGGGTTCGTGCCCCGGTCCGGGAAGATCCCACATGCCGCGGAGCGGCTGGGCCTGTGAGCCATGGCCGCTGAGCCTGCGCGTCCGGAGCCTGTGCTCTGCAACAGGAGAGGCCATCCGCAACGGGAGAGGCCACAGCAGTGAGAGGCCCGCGTACCGCAAAAAAAAAACCCAAAAAACGAAAACACCTGGGCTCTTTGGAGAAAGGGCTGATTTCTGGACTGAGGGGGGAAAAGTATAAGAAGAGCCTGGAACATCTTGTGGTACTGGGAAGTAAGGAGATATGGAAAAGTGATGAGAGCATGCCAAAAAGACACAGATGTTGAACTGAAGGCGTTCCCAAGGACCGAAGCCAAAACAGTAAAATAAAATCATAGTGCTGGATTATAACCCATGGAGTAAAATATTCCTAAATCCTTAATAATATAAATAAGTATATGAGGAAGAGGGGACAGTGGTTCTTTCCATTTCAATCCCTATTAATGCACTGAAAAAGAATGAAGGAGAAACAATCAACATGGCGGCGGCGGCCGCAGCAGCACCCGGGGCCTTGGGTATCTTGCAGGCCGGCCGCGCTCGCTTGGTGGCCGCTTGCTGTGCGCGGCTCGGCCCTGGGTGGAGGCTGTCCGGCTCCTGGACGGTCCCGCGGGTCGACCCGGCAACCTGGGCTCAGGGCTGGACACCCACGGCCGGGGGTGCGGCCTGGCGGAGGGGCTACAGCTCTGAGGTGAAGACGGAGGACGAGCTGCGGGTGCGGTATCTGGAGGAGGAGAACCGAGGAACTGTGGTGCTTGGAATAAACAGAGCTTATGCCAAAAATTCATTGAGTACAAATCTTATAAAAATGCTTTCAAAAGCTGTGGATGCTTTAAAATCTGATAAGAAAGTACGGACCATAATAGTAAGAAGTGAAGTCCCAGGGATATTCTGTGCTGGTGCTGACCTTAAGGAAAGAGTCAAAATGAATTCCAGTGAAGTTGGTCCTTTTGTCTCCAAAATAAGAGCAGTGATTAATGAAATCGCTAATCTTCCAGTGCCAACCACTGCAGCAATAGATGGACTCGCTTTAGGTGGTGGACTTGAACTGGCTTTAGCATGTGATACAAGAGTAGCAGCTTCTTCTGCAAAAATGGGCCTGGTTGAAACAAAGTTGGCAATTATTCCTGGTGGAGAGGGCATGCAGCGACTGCCACGTGCCATTGGGATGTCCCTGGCCAAAGAGCTCATCTTCTCTGCACGTGTGCTCGATGGCCAAGCAGCCAAAGCAGTGGGCTTGATCAGCCATGTTCTGGAACAGAACCAGGAGGGGGATGCTGCCTATAGAAAGGCCTTGGACCTAGCAAGAGTTTTTACCTCAGGGACCTGTTGCAATGAGAGTGGCAAAATTAGCAATTAAGCAAGGGATGGAGGTCGATTTAGTAACAGGATTAGCCATAGAAGAAGCTTGTTATGCTCAGACTATTCCAACGAAAGACAGACTTGAAGGTCTTCTTGCTTTTAAAGAGAAAAGGACCCCTCGTTATAAAGGAGAGTAGAAGAAAGAGAAATCTTTAAAATGCCAGTGTAATAAATATACTTCTGGAAGTATCTTTCAGATTCACATATGCCTCAGCATCTGGAATCCCAGCGACCAAAGTGAAGAGCGAGTTATCCATATACTGAATTAAGTATCTGGAGTGGACCCCTATGTGTACTTGTTCAAATGTGTATTGTCATTTTCATTCAGATTTATAAAGCTAATAGTGTATACTGTCAAAAACACCAATTCAAAATTAGGTATACATTTTTAAATACCTCCTGCATACGAGGCTTTCTGTTCTTAAATTTTTTAATGTGAATAATTTATATATTGCACACGCTAGGAAAAAATATTGATTGTATGTCTCCTGTGCTACAGTATGAAAATAAAATTATTTCCATGTACCAAAAAAAAAAGAATGAAGGAAATTGAAATTCACCATATTTGAAATATTTGCCGAATTGAAATTGAAAAACACCACAGTAACGATTGTTGCAGGCAAAAACCATTGAAAAATACTAAAACTACAAGAGGAAGGTAGGATGAGAAACCTGACATCTGCCTAGTCTCAAAATTTCAACCCAGAAAACACTTACTAATCATAAACATAGCAACTTTAAAATCCAGCAGACTCACTTAACCAAATAATCAAAATTACCAACATGAGCTCCCACCCCCGACATAATGCACCTAGAAGAGCACACTGTTGCTTTCGTGGTGTGCCTTCCTAAAAATACACCCCCCCCAAAAGATCACACTAAGGGGCGTTCTATATAATAACTTCAAAAAGTGTCAAGATCGGGCTTCCCTGGTGTCGCAGTGGTTGAGAGTCCGCCTGCCGATGCAGGGGACACGGGTTCGTGCCCCGGTCCGGGAAGATCCCACATGCCGCGGACCGGCTGGGCCCGTGAGCCATGGCCGCTGAGCCTGCGCGTCCAGAGCCTGTGCTCCACAACGGGAGAGGCCACAACAGTGCGAGGCCCGCGTACCGCAAAAAAAAAAAAAAAATTGTCAAGATCATGAAAAGTGAAAGTGAGGTACCGTCCCAGATTATATTAAGATTGTGTAAAGGAGACATGAAGCCAAATATAAAAGATAATAGGGTTGAATTTATGTAAGGTTCAAAACGCGGCAAAACCAAACCCTAGTGTTTAGAATTGCATACCTAAGTAATAAAAGTATAAAAAAGAGCAAGGAAGTAAAAATCACAAACTTACAGATAATGGCTATCTTTGGTGGGAGAGAGAAATTTGTGAATGAGAAATAGCATGCTGGAGGCATCTAGGGTGCTGGCAATATGATTTTTTTTTGTTCTGAGTAGTAGTTAAATGTATGTTGGTTCCATGAAATTTCAGTAAGCTGTACATTTATGTTTTATGTACTTTTCTGTATGTATACTTCATACTATAAAAGGTCTTAATATAAAAAGTCCAAAGGAAAAAACCAACATAAGCAATCAGTGAGAGAGTAAGGGTGACTCCTAAATGAGGGATACAATATTAATTGGTATATTAACATATTTTAATATTCCTGTAAAAATAGATGAGTATTTTAAGAGATGAGCTTCTAGGGAATCCACAAGTCACTCATCCTCTTCTTAGTCCTAGAGCTACAAATTCTATGGCATAAATATAATATGAAAACACGGAACTCACATATCTGGGCATAATGGTTTTAAATAGGAAGGCAGTAAAATTAAAAAAAACAAAAAAAGGAACATAAGTGCATTAAAAATGTATAGACAAATTTTCCAGTCCCAGCCAAGATAAGATGGTACCTGAGAGAAGGGAAACAAATGAAGTCCTACCACTACCCCAGCCTACCACCTGGAGCCAATAAAGACTAACATATTTACTATCTGATCCTTTGGAGAAAAAAATGGCCAGTCCCATTTCAAGACAAATGAAAGCATATGTCTACGAGAAGACTTGTTTCCAAGTCTCACAGCAGCTTTATTTATAATAGCCAAAGATTGAAGACATCTCAAATGTCCATCCATACACAGGTGAACGGATAAGTAAATTGCGATATATCTATACAACAACAGGCTGCTCAGCAATAAAAAGAAATGAACTACTGATACATGTAACAACATGGATGAATCTAATGTTGAAAGAAGGGGGGGCGGGGGAAGACCACCACAGACACATACAGTGTATGTTTCCATCTACATAAGATTCTAGAAAATGAATACCCCAAAGCGGTGGTTGCCAGAAAAGGGAGTGAAGGGTGTGGGAGGAGAGAGGGAGGGAGGGATTAACAAGGAGCAGGAGGGAATTTGGGGTGGGGGGTGGGGGGCGGCTGATGGACACAGTCATCATCTTATTCCGGGAGTGGTGATTTCACACTTAAAAATCAAATTGCACACTTTAACTAAGTGCAGGTTATCATATATCAAATACTTCCCAATAAAGCTGTAAAAAATAATGTACAAACTTCATCTTCAAAGTTTTGCTAAATATATTAAAAAAGGAAAGTACAAATGTTCACAGGCCATATCACAAACTGGGCCTACAAATAATTCTAAATCAATCCACCCTGACCATTCTAAATGGAGAGTTGGTTTATTATTTTAAGACCTGCCTGTGTAAACATGAAGCAAAAAGTCTGAAAAGTGGTTTTTGACAGGGAAATCATCAAACACATATAGCTCCCCACCTGGTTTATTATCTACTGGTCATAAGAATTATTCTATAGCTTACTTTTAACCTACAAAAGAAGAGAGGGGAGAATGATTTATGTAGGGATTAGCCTCAAATCTAAACATCTGAAATTACGTGAATCATCATCATATCCATAAATTTTCACCTCATTGACTCCAAGATGTATATGTAAAGCATATTTGTTAAAAGATTAATAAATAAAATAAATGAATAAAACTTTCATTTCCTGTATTGGGAAATTCTGAAACTTATTTTATTTTTTCCCTATATTTTTGTTGTACAAGTTCCCCTTGTATACTTCAGACAAGACTCTGTGACATCCTCCTTTTCCCCTGGGAAAATGTAGGAACATTATGCTATGGGGCCATTTCTGCAGAAAAAGTACAAAAGATACTGTGGAGACAAGAAACAGGGAAATTTAAGCTGAGTGGATATAATTCACAATTCCATTTTTTTCTGTCTAAATTATAGCACCATGTCACGTTACCAGCTATTTAAATAATAGCTATGATCAATCAAAGAGAGAAATGTTTTTTTAAATCACAGACCCCAGAATGACTGAGACTGTTATATTCCACACTGAAAAGAATTACTTCAAATCTGAATTTCAGCTTCATAGAACTCTCCACAAACTGCTGACACATGAACTGCCAAAACTACAGAGAACTGCCTAAGTGTCTCACTGATAGAATATACATTATATTGATCTTCTCTTTACTATTAATTTTAATTTGAATACTCCTCTAGTAAATATTATATATGCATCCCTTTTTTAAAAATACAGATTTTGGTAGGTATTGAATTAGTATTTTTTCATTGCTAGGTACATATTAGCTATCTTTATTTTTTAAAGTACGGTTAAGTCCCCTACATAGGAACCTTCAAGTTGCAAACTTTCAAAGATGTGAATGTGCATTCCATCAAGTCAGGCGTGAGTGAAATTGCAGCTTGCCCTCTGTCTCCTATTGCTGACGATCCCTCAGCTCTACCATCTCCCACCTCCTCTCCCTCCTCCAGTCGGTAACTCTTCTTGCCTGTTCACTCGATGCCAGCCCCTGGATGTCAGCTGTTGTACTGGACTACTGTACTTTTCAAGGTACTGTACTGTAAGATTTAAAATGTTTTCTTTATTTTTTTGTGTTTGGTCGTTTTTTATGTATTATTCGGGTGAAAAGTATTATAAACCTATTACAGTACAGAACTATATAGCCAACTGTGTTAGTTGGGTACCTAGGCTAACTTTGTTGGGCTTAACGAACAAATTGGACTTAAAATGCACTCTCGGAACGGAACTCGTTCGTATGTAGAGGACTTGCTGTAGTTAATGCTTTATCATTTTCATGACTCTACTTATAAACATGAATGAGCCTATTTTGAGTTAACAGACAATTCCTGCCTTAATTCAATCAGCATATTCTTTTGTTCAAACAGAGTAACTTACTGACTGGTTTAGTTAGCAAAGCCCTTGAAGGAAATTCTTACCTAGCTGAATAGCTCATGTAAAAGAATTTGAACTGTAACAATTCATTTTATTCTTTATTTTGATATCTGTTCAAAACACACTGATAACTAATGATATAGTAGCAGAATTGTTTTTAATTACTTCAAATTTAAAAATGACCAGAATACCATATTGCACATCAATTATTTTGCTTATAAATCATTATATTTACCCTTGACATATGCCTTGATCAATTAACAAAAGTTAACATAATGCATGAGACAGCTGAACCTCAGTAATGTGACAGCTATAATCTAGTCTAAGTATATTCAAGACGAAGTTCCAGAATCTCATATGCTGGGCTGACAATAGGAAATCATGAGATATCCATAAGAAAGACATCACCGGATAGTGCTGGCAATGCTATAAAGCATGATAATTTTAACATTTCTTAAAGCCGTGAATATAAAGTAAATGTTACCAAGCTGTCTAGGACCACTATAAATGACTGAAAGACCCTCACGCCCTCACGTCCTTACAGTGAAACTAATTCAATTATTTCCAAAACACAAGATGGAGGTTATCTAATAATCACAATACTTTTCCATTCATTTTTTCCACTCTATTAAGTGACTGATGTGAATTCTTGAAGTGGGTTATGGTCATTACAACCTTAGAATATGCTCAGCAAATCCATGAGGGGTAGTCAAACAATGTTATCTTTTTCCTCAAATAAATTAACCAGGCTTTCAGAAAGAATTAAGCAGTGTGGAAGTATAAGCACATAGTTATTTCATACGGTTTTTTTAAGATGTAGTTTTAAAACCCATTCCTTGTCACCAATGTCATAGCAGCATTATTCACAATAGCCAAAAGGTAGAAACAATCCATATGCCCATCAACAATTGAAAAACATAATGTGGTATATATCTTGTTTATGGAATATTATTCAGTCTTAAAAAGGAATGGAATGCTGACATGCTGCAACATGGATGAACTCTGAAAACATTATGCTAAGTGAAATAAGCCAGTCACAAAAGGACAGCTATTATATATTC